ATGGAACTGGCGTGGGATCAGGCAGTGTTTTGTTCTGCTGTGCATGGGGTCACTATGAGTCTGAAATGACTTGATGGCACCTAACAACAACAACAAGGAAGATTGGTTAGACTTCCTCTCTCCTACTTTGGTCATGCTGTCAGAAGGGACCATTCCCTAGAGAAGGATGGCAAGCTTGGTAAAGTGAAGGGTCAAGAAAAACGGGAAGACCTGCAACAAGATGGATTGACACAGTGGCTGCAACAGTGGGCTCAGGGATAACAAGAAGATTGTGAGCCTGGCACAGAACTGGGCAGTGTTTTGTTCTGTTGTACATAGGGTCGCTGTGAGTTGGAGCCAACGCGACAGCAGCTAACCACACAACAACAACAGTTATTCTAAAGAATGAACTAGAAATAGTATAGAAAAGGTCTGTGACCACCATGATAACATTAGGAAAAGGGAGGATACAGAATTTTGCACATAAGATATGGATGATAGATGCTAATACTAACCAGTATATCCATAATACTGCATTAATACCATTAATATCAAATTAAATCCATTAATACCAAACACCAGGCTACAGATAAACACATAAATATCTGAGAAGATCAGATGGGGGTCAGTGAACATGAGTATGCTCAAAAAAATCATAAAGAATGAACTAGGAGAAAAGAAAGAATATACTTCTTAGGATTTGGAATTCCTTCATATGACTATATAATAATTTAGTTGAGAATACCTATTTAACCCAGAGTTTATGGTACATTAGCTGGGTGAGTTGGTCCAGAAAGTATGAGACATGAGGTATGCAAATATTTCATATGAAGTTCGTTGTTATTTAACTGTATACTGAGCTCTGAAATTAACTGAGATCTTCACTCTTGGTGTTTCTTAACGACAGAATTTAAGAGTGGGATAGAAAGTCATTACTGTGAAGATACATCTACCCTAAACCAGGAATCATTGGCTGTGACATTTGGACCAAAAGTTTGGAAAGTTTAACAACTGTGAAGGGTGATCATGGAAATCAAAGAAGAAGGAACATCAGAGGAAGGCCAGCACTTTCTTCCCACTGCCCAGGAAAATGATACTGGGGACTTCCAGTTCACGAGTAAGTATATATGTGTGCCCCTTCCAGGAGCTCTCTGAACAGACACATGAATATGCATTGTAACAAATGAGATGACGTTAACTGACTGAACTGTGCTCCCTTTACACTATTTATTTTGGCGTTGTGTGTCTGTGATGTGTATCTCCTCTTATATCTTGGATGAGAAAGATGATAGTCCATCAAATGGTTAAATATCAAATAGTAGATTCAGTCCTTAAATATATATTAATACATTCATAAATACTTTTTAAGTACACCTTCCAAAAAAAAAAAAACTAAACTCACTGCCATGGAGTCAATTCACCTCCTAGTGACTGACCCCTTTTTGGGTTTCCAAGACAGTATCACTATGGAAATAGATTGCCCAATCTTCCTTCTGAGGAAGGGCTGGTAGGTTTGAACTGCCAGCCTTGTGGTTAGCACTCAAATGCCTTAAGCATAATTATCATTTATATAATCTTATATGAAATTATTTATTGTAATATTTTATATATTTTTACAATGAAAGACATTTCACTTGAAAGCATTAGAAAAACAATGGTTACATTAGAAATTTGAATATCCCTGCCATCCCAGAGAGCACTCAGTCACATAAACAGAGCAAGCCTGGAGATTTGGCCAAGGTTTGCATTTGAACATTGAAATCGATTTTTCTATTACTCAATTAATTAAAGTCATTGGAAATATTGCATGTTTTCTCTCATGCTTAAAATTATAGCTTTTGGGTTTTATTGTTTAGTATGAATTGTGTCTTTTTCACTTATTTTCAGAAGATTTTATTGACCAGTTATTTAACATTGACAAACATATGCCTAACCCTCTCATTTAATTTACATTATAAAAATAGTCTTTAGAAAACAGTATTGGTTGAATGCATTTTTGAGAAATTTAGTTGTCAGAGCTTAAAGCAGAGTTAATTGTTAATAACCTTTTTAAAAATTGAAACTGTTTGAAGTTCACAAAAACCTACCTAATGATTGTCATTCTAACCTCTCTGGGAAAGTCTAAAATTGTTAACCATAGCATTATTAAATGTCAGCAGACAGGGGGAGAAAAGGTTATTGTGCAAAAAAGTGTTAACTATGTAAATAAAATAGATCACTTTTAGACAAAGGTGGTTCAAACAGTATGTTAATGATAAAATGCTAGTTTAATTTAAATAGTATCTGATAAAGGTACCAACAAAAAGGATCAACAAGAAATGGAGTTTCAGAATTTTCTTACATTTATTGCCAAATGGTTTACTTTTTCATAAATTTTAGTTTTGCTTCTTTGATCATCCATATGTTGTAACAAATGATATCACATCCCTACATCCAGGCCTTATCCATTCTTTGGGAAGCCCCTGAGGTGTGTGTGGTCTTCAGGCATCCCTTGCCATATTATTTCTTGCCTCAACTTTCTGCCTTCTGGCCATTAACCTGATTTAGCATGAATGTCACAATAGTACTGTGCTCCATAGTTTTCAACAGCTGATTTTTGGAAGCAGATTGCCAGGCCTTTCTTCCAAAGTGCCTCTGGGTGTACTCAAACCTCCAACCTACTGATTAGCATCCAAGCATGTTAACTCTTTGCACCAACCAGGGGCTCTTTCTATTAATATTCCCATTTCCTTACCTTTATTCTCAGATTTACTTTCCTTTCCATCTTGTTTTAATACATTTAGGCATGTAATTAAGTTTTTTTTTAAGTCACTAATGAAAGGAATGGGAACATGTAACTGGATATAAGTTTGGGCTATCAGTACATTGGCAGAATAACCACCACCATAATGCTCACCATAATTACCCTTTAATAATTAAAAACAAAACAAAACCTACTGGCATACAGTCAGTTCTGAGTCATAAGGACCCTATAGGACAGAGGAGAACTTCCCCATAAGGTTTCCAAAGCTATAATTCTTTAAAGAAGCAGATTGCCTCATATTTTTCCTATGGAGAGGGTGGTGCATTTGAACTACTGGCCTCTTGGTTAGCAGTCCAATACTTTAACCACAAAGCCACCAGAGCTCCTTTCCCTTTAGTAATATCTACTGCTATTGAGTTGATTCTGACTCCTAACGGCCTCTATAGTGTTTCAAAGGCTGTAAATCTTTACAGAAGCAGATGGCCTCAATCCCCTACCCTACCCCTGGCAGAGCAGTTTGTGGATTTGAACTGCCAATATTTTGGTTAGCAGCCCAGTGCCTTAAGCACAGCACCACAAGAGCTCCTCCCTTTAATAATCATGACTATAGATCAGTGTGATTTGAAAGATCCATATAGAAGAATATTTTAGTGAACTATTTCATTTTGAAAGCTCTGACTCTATCTACATGCATTCAAAAGGAACAGACATAGCTGAAAAATGTTGTATCATATTCATCATGGCTTACAAAAACAATATTCTCATTTCCTTTATGACTATGGAGATAAATAGACCAATCAAACCTTTAGTTACATGGAGTTTTGCTGCTGCAAATATTTTGTCCTCTCCTCAGAACTGACTGCTTACAAGCCTGATTTACCAAGTTCATTTGTTCTGCCAAATAATATCTTTATAAATACTGGTCAAGATGAAACATAGTGCTATATATTGAAATATTTTTGATAATGAGTGAATTTTTTTTTTAAATCTGAATTTGCATCTATTATTTATAGGTATTCAGAAGACCCCAAATGAACCACAGTTGGAATTCATCCTTGGTAAGGAATCCCAATATCAATAATATTAAAATAATGTTTATACATCATTCCTCATTTATTAGCATGGTTAGTTTCCAAAGACCATGTCCTTATGCAAAATCTGGCATTATGTGAAAATGGAGAATGACCACAACAGATCATAAAATGGAGAATGACTACATCATTGCATAACTCCTAAATCACATCATTACATAACTGCCAAACCATTGAGAATTGTGGCTCAGTCAAATTGACATATAACCTTAACCATTACAACTGGCGTTACTCTTGCCTTACATCTCAGCATTCATTACTGTCAGACATACATTATTCATGTGCAAAATAGTAGATCAGTAGATTTTTTACTATTGTTATACCTGTGAAATGTCAGATAATAAGATGGTTAATAAGTGAGAAGTAGATGCAGTAGTTTACAACTTTGAAAAAAAAAAACAAAAAACAACTCACAGCCATCGAGTCACTCCTGATTCATGGAGACCTCCATTGGGTTTCCAAGTCTGTAAATCTTTACGGAAGTAGCTTGACCCATCTTCCTACTGCAGAGGGGCTGGTGGGTTTGAATCATCAGCTTTCTGGTTAGCAGTGAAATGCCTTATCCACTACACCACCAGGACTCCTTAGTTTACAACTTAGAGGTACATTATCTACATCATTACATGTTAATACAAAATTGTTCAATAAAAGTTTTTATTCTATATGATAATTAAAGAGTCTGAAACACTGAGTAGGTCACTTAGCTGCCCAAGAAAAGAGGGAACAGTGATGATAGGACTGTATCACTGAAACAGGTCTGCTGATACAAACCAGATGTCCAGCACTGATTCTAATACAATGGCTGCATTATGTTGCTAATCAGTGTATCTGGAAATCCATTTGTTTAATTACCTAGTCCTTGGTCTGGAAGCTGACCATATGTAGAGTTTTTCTTTGGGTTCCTTTTGGCACATGCAATACTCTTGCCTTTTTTCACCTTATTCACGCAAAAATATGCTCACTCTTCTGTCTTGATTTTTTTCAGACAGAATCTTGGTATTGGAGAATTTAAGTTTAACTTAAAGCTTTGACTTACTTAAGCAACTCTAAAGTTCTGTGAAATGTAAAAATGTATAACCTTGTTCAACAATGAATTCAAAATGGGCACCCTGAGGCTGGTTCACTACTTACTTAGCTAATGAGTGTTCTCTGCTTTGCTTTTAAATCAAGTGTGATATGCTCTGGTGGCCTAGTGCCTAAGGCATTTGACTGCTAAACAGAAGACTGGTGGTTCAAATCCACCAGCCACCATAGAAGGAAAACGGGGCAATCTACTTCCATAGTGATACTACCTCAGAAACCCAAGGAGGGGTCACTATGAGTCAAATAGACTC